CTTTAGAATATGGTATGTAAGGTGCACGAACATATTTTAAAAAAAATCGAATGTCAAGATAATTATTATTTATATTATTATCATAATTATTGGAACATAAGTTTAGAATACTATGATTATATAATGTAGAGGAGAGAGACCCCTCTAATGGTCAATTTTGCCAATAAAGATACTACATCATATATTAAATAAGAATGCGAGGAATTTGGATCCCGATTCAAAAAAATATCAGCACAGTGAACTTTTTAAATTAGTTAATGGGTACATTAAAACTGATTGTTTTTTGTAATATATTCATTTATATCCTGCTTGATGACAGAGGTATACTTGAAATTTTTAAAGATTTCAAATTTTAGTGGTTTTGGCCCCCCCCCCCCAGGGGGGCGGGGACCATGAAATTCTTTGTGTTTTTTGAGTTCATATTATTCATTATGCCTTACATAATTCTTTTGGGTTTTAATAAGACATGTAAAATGATATTTAATAAGACTGAAAATGAATCATCAGTAAAATTTTTGATTAAAAGTTTTGTTTGGAGAGGGATAAGGGGGGTTGGTGTATAAATGTGACTCAGTTCTGACTGAAAAGTTACATTTCTCTCATTCGTTTAAAACGTTTTAAACACCTGTTCCGAAATTATTATTGTTTTAGTATTCAGATGAATACTCTACTCTTTTCGCACTTGAAAGGCTTTCTACATTTTAATTCATAAGTCCGCGTAAATACTTACACACGTATAAGAGTCATTTTTATATATGTTTACATATTCAATACATGTTGACAATAAATAAAGTATAATCGCTCGTGGATTTTTTCTTCCAAAACCTTTTGACAAATATTTATCCCAAATTCCAAATACCTGTCTTTATTTCGTTTTCGCCTATTCTTATTTGGATCAAAATATTTAAGTTGGTAGTAACACTTTCGGTTTTTTTCCATTTCTCGCAAAATTTCTTTGCTTGGTAGAGAATGTAGCAATTTAAAAATAAAAAATCAAAACCTTTTTGTGTCTTTATTTTTCTTGCAATTGAACGTAATACCTATGATTCTCGCAATAAACAAAAAGAATTAAATGGGTTAATTTACAATACAATATAGACAGGTATTTCCTATGTGTAAAGTATATACTAAACATGTTAAATGTATTGGTCCATGAAAAGTAATTTTAGTCATTTTCCACAGGAATGAATGTAAATAAATTAAAATGAGCAAAAAAAAAAAATAGTTAAGATAACCTGCAAATACCTACTTTCAAAATGGTATTTCATTTCATGGCCTCTGGTTTAAAAATAGGTATTTCCTTTTCTGAAAATGCTGCAGTGACGTAGCATCGTTTTTTAAAGTGAGGGGGGGGCAGCCAAAGATGAAAAAAAAACTTACCTGAAAAAAGTTTACAAGCAAAAAACAAAATGTTAATGAAAATATAAAAAAACATAAAAATTTATTTCTTAAACTGAAAGTCATGTTTCAAGGGGCTCAGAGGTGTGTGTACATGGATATATCCATTTTTTAATACTATATATACTATATGTACTTTTCCTTTAATTCACTGTACTGTAACAAAAAGTGGAGGGGGGAGGCAACCGGCCTATCAAAGAACATTTTCAACATATAGTAAAATTTATGTTTGGAAAAAATCACTATATTTTTTCACTAGAAAAAAATCACACATTAGTGATATCACTAATTTCATAGCTTAATTGCAGCACACTCAGACTTTTTTTCACAGGGAAAAACAAAACAAATTGTGTCCAAACAATTATTTCATTGCTGACAACTTTCGAGGACGATCTGCTTTCCTTCGTAAAATTCTAAAAAATCTTAAAATCCAAGGATGAAGGGTAGGAGAGTCCTTTAATAGCTTGATGACAAGTCAGAAGCTGTTCAATGTATGTACATTTTATTGTATTTTTAATGGCTGTCATGATTGTTCGGAGGTCACACTATTTATGACTAGTATTAAAGACTACATACACATTGAGGAAGGCTCGTAAAGGAAAATATAATTATACTGAGGTACATGTCTCACAGATTTTTTATTTACTCTTGTAATAATTAGATTAAAAAATATCGTGCTATTTTTGTGAATGATACTTTTGTGCTGTTATTCAATGCTACATGTACAGCCGACGGACACTATACGAGTATGCAAGTGCATACGATGTACAAATAACATAAGCGGCATCTTTAACTACAATTTATAGTTTGTTTTCAAAATATTTTATTTATATTTAGGGGTATATATACTTTACTTTGTCCAGTGATGCGACTTGAAATTAAAAAAAATCTCTTTCTGTGTAAATTAAGCGTCATTTACATCGATATCAGGAAAATTGCGTCGGTAGAATATCTTTTTCCGTATGTTAACTTTTGCAAAATTCATATTGATCACAGGTGACAACCAACACTATTTTAATGGTGTGTCTGAGATATGTAGTGATGAACTTATATGCGGAGTATAAAAGTGGTTGTTGCATGTGAAAGTGTCTAATTTCAGCAAAGATTACTCATTTTTCAGCATAATTTAACGATTTTGCACGACCATCGATGTTTAGTGCGTATCAGTGACGTCATAGTTAAAAATTACGTCATTTTTGGACCTGTAGAATTTACTTCGCATCTCCCTTACTTCAATGCATAACATAAAAAAAATGATACATAGAAGATTAAAATATTGTATTATTTGCGGCGAACTACTGCTAATACCGTACTTTGTTCTTTGGTAATATTACATATATTATTGTTTTTTGTAAAGTTTAAGTAAATGAAATTCTTCTTCTTCCAATACAGTGCAGGGCCTTTTGGGCATCATCGCACTTTGATGAACTTCAAGTATTAATTTCAAAGCACACATGATTGATATAGAATAATTTGTTGATTTAATGTCCAAAAAAATTCTTTTGCATAGTTTTATAATTTATCATGTTAATTTTTGACAAAAATACTATTTTTGGGAGAGTTTTATAATTTATCATAATATCGAGATACGTATCGTATCGTGTTACTGTATCAAGATACGTATTGTATCGCAAGATCTGTGTATCATCCCACCCCTAATGTTGAATAAGGCTGCCTCTACCAATTTTGGAAGAGGCACTCTTGCTCATCATAACTTTGTTCTTAGTTTATTTAATACCCAGAAGCAGAGAAGAAGATTTTCAAAGAAAGAATGCATTTTCACTATATAATCTATATAGCCCCGCCCTAGCACTAGAACCCCTGACCCTGGGGCCATGAATTTCACCATTTAGGTAGAGGACTCAATGCTCTTCACAATCATGCCAACAGTTTGACTGCTTGATGTCCAGGAGTAAAGAAGATTTTTAAAGATTTCATTAATTTTAGTGGTTTTGGCCCCACCCCTCAGGCGCCAGGGGGGCGGGGACCATGAAATTCACAATTTTTGTTCCTTTTTACCCATAGATGCTTTGTGCCAAATTTGGTTGAAATTGGTTCAATGGTTTCAGAGAAGAAGCTGAAAATGTTCCAAGGTTAACACATGACACACAACGGATGAAAACAGATAGCAATAGGTCACATATGTGACTCAGGTTACCTAAAAGTTACATTTTCATCATACGCAATTAAGGGTGAAACGTTTACTGAATTTTGTAAACGTTTAAACGGATAGTAGTAAACGAAACGGTACCGTTTAAACGGGAGAAATTCTATGTTGGATTTTTATGGCTACTTACTCATGAAACTCGAATTTAATAATCAATTCTATCACTTTAATATAAGTATGAGTTGTTATTACAATTTCATTGTTGGTCATTATGACTTAAACGTAAGAATTTGGGGCGCATTAAACTCATTCACATTCTACCTCGTCACCCAACTGCTTGGTTTGTTTGGCTACCGGAAAATGGATCTTTTAATCACGAAAAAAGTAAAACAAGACCTGCTGACTGTATCGAAACACTTTTCAAAGACTTGTGAAAAATGTATTATATTTATTTAATCAAAATATATCAAGTTTTACATTTCAAGTGTCGTAAAACATCGCTAGTATTGGCAACTCGGGAATCGGAATTGAATATGTTAGACCTTATCGGGTTTTAGATATTTTTATTCAATATGTTTCCGGTTTAGATTGTTGCTTATCAAATGGTCAAAGACGGTGTTTCTTTTGTAAATTATGAAATAAAACAATTTGTTTGTGTTAAACTTTATTTCTGATAGACATTGATAATGACCTTCGTGTAAACGTTTACTCAAACTGTAAACGTTTAGAGCATATAATCGAAACGTCGCCGTTTACACGTGTAATCGTTTCACCCTTATACGCAATAAATTACAATATTGCAGAAGAACCTTTTTTCTGCATAGGATTAGTTTTTGCTCTGCGCTATGCTGTCACAATAATTCAAAAATCTTCTTCTCTGCTCCTGGGCATTAAATCAACTAACTAAATATATAGTTATGATGAGCAAGAGTGCCTCTTCCAAAATTTTGAATTTTATGACCCCAGGGTCAGGGGTTCCTGTGATGGGATGGGGCTCTATTGATTATATGGTGAAAATGCATTAAATCTTTGAAAATCTTCTTCTCTGCTTCTGGGTATTAAATAAACTAAATTAATGCTTTGAAATCTGCTCTTTGGTATTTATCAACCATTTATGATGAAATAGAATTTATGATAAAATTTCCAAAATTTTAAAATATGTTGCCCCAGGGTCAGTGGTTCCTTTGGGGTGGGTGCACAACTGGTTATAAAGTGGAAATGCATTTTCTCTTTGTTAGTCTTATCTACCTCTGGGTATAAAGTAATCAAAGTAAGCAAGCAAAGTGTATAGTTATGATAAGCAATGGTGCCTCTTTCAAAATTGTGAATTTCATGGCCTCTGGTTTAAAACACAGCCAAATTCAATTGTTGGAAAGTTGTTACATGATCCTCAGGTGACCTATAAGGCCCGTGGGCCTCTTGTTAGTTACCTGTACAGTTTTGGCTAAGTGAAATGAAATAAAAATTTATTTCTTACCCTGACGTCTTGTTACAGGTGCTCAGCTAGATGACATGGATATATCACCTGACACCTCGCCAAGTTCTCGACCCTCCAGCTGTGCTGGTACCCCTCAGATGGGGCCTGCCTCCACCCCCATTGCTTTCCCCACCCCAAATACGGCAGCGGGACATCACCCTAGTTCTACCCCCTCATCCACCGCCCCTTTCATCAACAGCATACCCCAGCTCATCACTCAGATCAGTGGGGGACAGAACAATCAAGAACTAGCCAACAAAGGTAATGTTTGGAATACTGTGTTTTCATTAATATTCGTTGAGCACCAATTTTCGAGGATTTCATTGTTGAGCAGATCCACAAATTTAAATGTTTATTGAATTAGGAAATTTGTTATTCATTTGTATAGGCAATGCTTTTGTCCCAGAAATAAGGTATCCTCGAAAATGTCTGTTTTACAAAATCCACGAAGTTTTATGCCAACAAAAATTAATGAAACGACAGTAGCTGATAAATCAACAGTGATATCATTATAGTTGAAATGGGAAAAAGCATATTTCTGAAAGTTTCTATTTTACAACAATGAAGTATCTATGGAGATATTTATGCCCCCCTTCGAAGAAGGGAGGGCATATTGCTTTGCTGCTGTCTGTCGGTTGGTCTGTCGGTTGGTCAGTCGGTCCACTTAGTTTCCGTTCATTTTCTTCGCAGCCGTTGCACATACTGAAATGAAATTTGGTATACAGATATATCACATGAATATCTAGGTCAAGTTCTGTTTTGGGTACGATCGCACCATTTTTGACAGAGTTATGCCCCTTGGACTTGGTAAAATTTCAATTATTTGCAGTTTCCGTTCATTTTCTTCGCAACCATTGCACATATTGAAAAAATTAGCATACAGATTTATCAGAGAAATATCTAGGTCAAGTTCTGTTTTGGGTACGATCGCACCATTTTTGACAGAGTTATGCCCCTTGGACTTGGAAAAATTCCAATTATTTGCAGTTTCAGTTCATTTTCTTCACAACCGTTGCACATACTAAAATGAAATTTAGTATACAGATTTATCAGATGAATATCTGGGTCAAGTTCTGTTTTGGGTACGATTGCGCCATTTCTGACAAAGTTATGCCCCTTGGACTTGGAAAAAAATTCCAATTTATATTTGCAGTTTCCTTTCATTTTCTTTGCAGAGGTTGCACATACTGAAATGAAATTTGATATACAGATTTATCAGATGAATATCTTGGTCAAGTTCTGTTTTGGGTACAATCGCACCATTTTTGACAGAGTTATGCCTTTTTGGACGTGGGAAAAATCCAATTTGGGGGGAGGGGGGCATAAATGTTTTACAAACATCTCTTGTTTGTTTTAATTCTAATAGATCAATTTATATTGGTTTCAGCTTTACAGACTCTCAAGAAGCTTCAGGAGGTAATCACAAGACAGATTGCCCAACAAACAAGTAAGTGTTTAAAACTTGAGACACACAAGTAGCAGCTGGTCTGTAGCTCTCGGGTATGGAAGAATATGGCATAGACTGCCAGAGGGCTGCAAATCTTGGAATTTAAAAAGAGTACATTTGGGCACAAAAGTTGCTCAAAGTTTAATAGTTAAATTTGCAGGTGGTGTACTTTTTGTCTTGGTTCTTATTTAAAGAGGAAGTAATCTTGGATTGATCACAAAATTAGATCTCATTTAATCAATCAAGAATGTTTCCATCTTACCATGTTGTCAATAACGGTTTTCATGCTTATAATTTTTTTTAATGCAACGTATGAAACAATGTGAAATTTATTTAGTGTATTTTAATTACAGCCCGAGCAAGTACTTCTCATGCCCAGCAGGTGTCGTCTATGTCCACAAACACGATGGCTACCCACCCAGCCATGACCCGGTCAACTCCACTCTCCACAGAGAATGCCTACAACACCATTAACTCTCACTCCCAGCCCACACAAGTGTCCAGCCCCCACGTGTCTGCCAATCACGTCAGCCACCCCTCACCCGCCTACACCACTGGGGGAGGGATTTACGGGAAACTGGGCCAGAGCCAGCACCAGCAGCATATAGGGCATCAGTCACCTTTTCATCAGCTGCATGTGGACACGAGTAACGGCCAATATGTTGTCGGGTCCACAGCGGGACAAAGTCCTAGGTCTGACCATGGCCAAAAATCATCTTGGTAAGACTTGATTTATGGTTATGTTATATTTTACAAGTTGTGAATGAAATTTAGTCATTATTTTATCATATATGTCCAAGAACGAATTCGATGTCGATATCAACAATATCATGTCGATATCGTATCAAATCAAGCACTATTAATTGGAAATATCTTGTGCCATATTTGATTTAATATTATGTTCTCGTCGATATCAACAATATCATGACGATATCGTATATGCCTATTTGCACAATTTATTTTCATAATGAGGTATAACATAATTTTTCAAAGTCACAAGTGAATCAAAATTGATATCGTCGATATCGACAGTAAGGTAAACTTATTAAACACAGAAGTGATGTAAAAATAAAGTTTCTGTATTATGGTGAAGGTTGGTAAAGTAATATGCTTTTAACAATCATGATTCGTCGATATTTTGACGGCAGGTAAAATCTCCGTAAAAGTAAAGTAAATAAACATAAACACATTCAAAGTAACAGGGAAGGTTCCAAGGGCTTTACAAACATGATTTTGTCGATATAATGTGTAGAAAGATATAAAAAAAAGTTTAAGTAAAAGTTGTAAAACACACAATATTAAGGATGGAAACCACAATTCTTGGAACAATCATGATTTGATATCGGCACGATAAATTTTAAAAATAGCTAAAATCATGTAATAAACATTTATGTATAGATATATTGATACATGTGAGGACGATACCAATATCGATACATCTGAAGAAATATCGATATAAAATCTTACTTCTATTTTTCTTTGTTTATTTAACATTTGGGGTGTAATATATAAAGTAATTAAAATAAATATAAATATAGATGTGAAATAAATAATAATTTACACCATTTGAGTAAAATATTTTTGTTTAACAACATATAAACAACTATTTTGAATAAATTATTCTTATTTGCAAAGAAATAATTTGTTTATTTCAATGCAAAAACAGATTTTATAATCAATTAAACATATCGTGATACATATCGTATCGTGGCTCAAATATCGTGATACGTATCGATATAGAAAAAGTTGTATCGTCCCAGCCCTAATAAACACACGAGAATAGAGAAATATTATAGAAACTATAAAAAAGTAATGTGTCGATATCGTAACTACATCGTGTCTTGGACATAACTCTATTTTATAAGATTAAGTAATGATCTAGAGATATGTATTTAGAGTTCTACCTAGCAAAATCTTTTCTTGATTACTGTATACAGGGTTATTTTTGACGCGTTTTATTTTCGCCCTTTTACTCTTGAAAACAGTTTAAGCCCATTTTAAATTTGCCCACATATAGTTTTCTTTAAGACATTATACTGTTTCCTTTGAATTCGTACCGTTTAAATTCGCCGAAATGAGGGTAGGGTGAAAGGGGCGAAAATAAAACGGGGGCAAAATTTTCCCTGCATACAGTATCTCCCCCTTGGAAGGGGACTTGTCCCTTCATTTTAGCAAGTGTATAATTTGGTTGATTTTTTAGAAATGCAAATTTTAAAGAGCTCATTTGATTTATAATTTTGGGAAAGTTGTTGAATTTATGCTTTTGTTTCATAACTTTCAGTGCTAGTCCATCAAGTACAACCAGTTCACAAGATCTTCCAGTGGGGGTGGGGGACATTTCTGTGACGGGGCTCAATCAGACCAATTCCCCTAATGTGTCATCTTCATTGAGCCAGTACTATAATGAAAAGTTGATAGGCCATGTCACTGGCTGGCAAGGTGACCAGGCAGAAAGACAGGTATTTATAAACAATTTAACATGTGTTCTTTGTATTGAAACAATGATTTATATTAAATGTTCTCTGTTCCTTTAAAAAAATTATAAAAGATTCAGTACTCTCTACAGTTAAAGATTGCAGGTCTTCCATCCAAGTCTTAGATTTTAAATCATTAAAGTATACCTTCTTAGATTTTAAATATTTTTCAAAAGAGTACAACTTTGTGAAAAGCAGCATTGGGTGTTTTATTAAAGAAGATACTTATGTTTTCAGGCACGGAGGTACTGGGAGGAAGGCATTAGTGTGGGAAGCTTTCACTGTGGGCAAGTTGGAGTGGAGCTTAAAAGGTCAAGGTCATTAGTGAGGCTGGCTGAAATTCAGTCAACTCTTCATGAACAAAGGTGAGTAGATAATAAATGAGTGATTGTTGCCCTCGACTTCTTAAAATGGAAGTATGAAATGACGACTGTTATTTAATTTGTGTTATTTTCTCTTTCAGAATTTTATTTTTATCAACACAAGTGCATGAACTGGAAAGCATGAAAGCGCCAAGTTTCTCATCTCATTCATTCAATACAACACAGTAGAAGATTCATCCATGTTGTCCCAGATGCTTCAGTTTTTGTGACTGTATTGTGATCAGCTAGGGGGATAACTTAGACTGGGTTCCTTGTGGTTGCTAAGCTGAAATTATAGAGTGTGAGAGCTCATCTGTTCATTGTCTACTGTTAATTTTTTTTTCAACTGGACTTTTAATAAAAATAAGTTTAACTTTTTTTCCTTCAGTAAAGGGAGAAATAAAAGTAAGATTTTACTTTGAAGGATATTTTTTTGATGTTGAATTCAAAAAATGCATTTTTGTGCATTCTTTGGTTCTACAATGTAGGTTTTCTAAGTAATATTTATCATATCAATATATGGAACTTGAGATCTGTAAAAAACCATGTGGATAATTTCTGAAATTCAGTCCTACAGTTTTCATACAGTTGATATTTTTTGATATAATGTAGTTTCCAATAAATACCAAATTAGAAACAGTTTTTGGAACCAAGATAGTAGGAAACACTGCAATTGGGTTTTAGCCAAGTTTATTAGAATCGATGTCTCTTGGTTGTGAAGTTTTAAGAGTTATGTCCCTTACAGAGATATTTTACATAATTGAAGTTTAGTAAAATGGAAATATTGGAAGTTTAGCAAACTAAATAAATTGAATTTGCTACATTTTCTGGTAGGAGAAAAAAAATAACAAACATTTTATGGTAGACTTTGTTCTGTACTGAAGTTTGTTTAAAAGTGCTATATAATGCATGATCTGTATGTACATTGTAGGTAAATTGTACACAGTGTTCATTGATACACTGTAAAGATGAAAATGATTGATTGTAAATTGTTGGAGACAATTTTTCATTGTATCCATTTATCATACTATGTAAGCAATAGAACAACCATTATTTGTTGCAATATTTGTGTCTTAAAGAAGGGGGGGGGGGTAATATAACAAATTGTAGGAAAAACAAATTCAAGAAAAAACACCAGACATCTTTCAACAAGTAATAATCAATTTATTGTACTAATTCATATCTTTGTCAATTTTTAATAGTCTGTTTTTATTGCATTTTTATAGTATATCCTTGAATCATTCATTGATGCACTCCAAAACTATGTTAAAAGGTTAATTTTTTCCCAAAATATACAAAATTTGTTCTAAGGGGTGGGTGATGAAGCATTTTCTGTTTTACAGTCACCAGCATTATTACTCTGGGACCAGGCCATGTTGGGTCACATCATCAGTTGTCTGTCTGTAGCTGTTTTCTGGCATTTTTCTTCTTTTTATGAATGAATCAGTTGTGGAATAGGCTTTGGAGATATTTATGTGTGTCTTTGCTGTATGAGAGTGTGAGAGAAAGTAAGGAGCATTGATTGCTTTTCATGATCTTACATTTGTGGGTGTGAAGATTAATGGTGCAAAAGGTTTCAACTGTTCATTTTTTTTCATTTTCTCTCTAACAAAACCAAGTTGACATTTCCTGGCTTTTTTCCTTCATCCAAGCAGCCACACATTTTCTTGCATAAAACAGTTTGTGTTGTATTTAAGAAATTTTATCAAAACATTAAAATGAGACGTATTTTCCAAACATTGTCGTGCAATTTACTTTGGTTTAATTACAAAATATGTAAATTATGTATATTTTTATACTCTTTTTCTTCAAGCTTTGTTTTTATCAATTAATGCTTATGTGATAGGACGTGTGGGGATAATTCTTAGGGTGTTTTTATATCATTGATGTATGTGTAGAATCTGAGAGTGTGGTGTCAGTGGGCACGTTGCTTCTGTGTATAAAATTGTTATTGGTATTTCACTGAGCCGTTGTGTTGTCCTGTCTGTGAGAGATCCAGTTTTTTTTTTTTTTTTAGAATTTATGACAATGGTCATTGAGTTTATATACAGGACATCAGAGCGGCTTCTCCAATGAGAGTTTAAACTGTAGATAATATGTTTAAAGTATCTGTTAAATAAAACTATGAATTCAGAGATGAGTTTTTGTTTGAATGTTGACAGGCACCAAATTTTGAGAGGATTGCTTTTGTTTTTCCATACATGCATTACAGTGGTATGCCACGACTGTCCGCATCGTTACATAGTCTGGAATGCATATATAGAATCTGTGTTTAAAGAAACCTACAAATTTCAACAAATTATTTTCATGAAAAATGTAGTCTGTAAAAAGGATGTGTAAGTTGCTTCAGTTCAGGTTTTGAGACGTTCCCCGGCTTTCAGGTAGTGAGAGCGTCACGCTTGAGATTCCTGGGGGCGCTTAATCAACAGGTAAATGTAATGTCCAGCCAAGTGACACATCGACTCATTTCGGTATAAGGATTTAATTCAGTGTCATTATATTTGTACTGTGCTGGAATTAATTACTGGGTTTAAAGGTAGGCATTTAATGTACTTCTATCTCAAAAAATTAACAGCAAAAAAATAAAGTTTAATATTTTCTATAGAATAAGAAGGGAACACAAGTACCTTTTAGAAAGTTTATGGGTTTAATATTGGTGGGGTTGTATACATGAGAATGGCCTTGTAGAAAATCATCTTTGTTTAAGATAAGCTGTTATGGTTTTATTAACAATCCTGAACTTACGAGTATGGTCTACTGTTTGTTTACTAGGGCCGGTATATTTATACAACGAGAGATAAACCAAAGTTTTCTTCTTCACTTGCACAAATGCAACGGAGGATCATCTCCATTAATTTTTTTCTTACCGCGTCCACCTTCTTGGGGGAAATTTCAGTAAATGTCTAGTGCATGGAGTGTAAAAAATACTTGGCACTGACACATGAATTAGAAGACTGGTTATCTGTAAAGTCAGCAGGTTGTCGTTAGTCATTTTGTGTTGTCACCTGCACGGACCACTCCGTGTAGACCCAGCACCTTGTTATTTCATTACTACAGGCTTACACCCTGCGACACAAACGCATACATAACTCAGCATGGCCTCAGGTACCAAAGCCAGAAAACTAAACATTTTTCTATAGTTTATCACCAAAGCTTGCTTTTTACAAAAGATACGTTTGTCTGACCTCATACAACCTAAAAACTAAACACGACGATTATAGGATTAGTATCTTAACTTAAAATGGGACTTTAATGAAGTCGTGGGTTGGGGCCAAGCTTTCTCATGGCTCGGTCGTTGGGCTGGACCTTATAATGGCCTAACTGATTCCGACAGCAGATTACACTTGAGGGATGTCCACCTGACGGGCTGATTATCTTCATTTTTATAAGATTATTAATTTATTATCATGGTGTAAATTTTGTATTTACTAGATTTAGGTAAATGCAAAATTTACAACATGATAACTAAAAAACATGATATTAGCTCTTACTTTTTTGTCAGAATGTTATTTACAACGATAATTAGAATTTTGAATAACCTTTTAGGGAAATACTTGCATGCACTCTTGTTTTTATTACATGGTCAAACAATTAATGGTTGTTTTGGCTTTCTGATTTGTCTGGTTAGGGACATTCCACTGTTTCAAAATGAATGACTGGCATTAATATTTAATTTATTGTAATGTGTGTCAGTGCTGCATAAATATTTATAAATTTCATTGATGTGTTGGCACAGATATGCTTGGAATGACAATTTTTTATAACCAGTTTTATTTTTTCCATGCTATAGATGACAGTTTCAGTAAATCTTAAACCATTGCATGGAAATTATTTCGAATTTTTTCTTTCAAATACAGAAATGTTAGACTGAACTCTGGCAAGTCTGACTGAATGGTAAATGATAATTGAATTTCAAAATGGCCCCTTCATGTATTACACTTTTAATTGAGACCCATTTGCTCGATCTTTTTAATTGCTTTCGGTACGGTGATCAAGCTATTCATTCTCTTCATTTACAAACCATTTTATAAAGGAACTGAGTAACATTGTGGACTACAAATTATACCCCTTTTGCTATTGATCAAAAATAGTCAAACACGAACCCCCAACTGAGCAACAAATGATAGAACCAGTGGGGTACTCTGTTTTCCTCCGAAAATCTGAAATATTGCAGCTTTGATCTTTCTTTATTTCCTTTTGGGAGAAATTGAATAGCAATATTTCTGTCCAATTTTAATAGGCATTCTATATTTAGCGACAGGTAGTACCAGTTTTTCCCCACATGGTTTTTTTTTATTTCACTTTCAGATCTTGTTTGCTTTCATTACCACGATGACTTTCAAAAAATCCAACTTTATGTAACACAACACTTTTGATTATTCCGATTTTATGCTTTCCAGTTGTTTGAAAGTTTTCAACAGTAACATCTTTTGCATAAAATTCTATCGGTGAACTTAACTTGACAAGCACAAAGAGTGAATATATTTGATCATTGCCTGATGAATGCTCTTGAAGGCTGAATTTCTGTGTCTATGGATGACGTACCCACTAGATTAAAAAACACATACAACTTTGTCCATTAATTAATTACCTGATGAACTCCCCCGACAGATAGAGCTCTAATTGAATCAGCTATCTCGTATCGATGATCAAAAAGTCCCCGTGCTGGAACCAACACTAAGAACAATAGTTTCTATACGCAGCATGTCGAATTAAATCATAAAACACAAAAAATATTTGATGCCCATTTCCATACCGCGGCCTGCCGAGGAACAAGATAGTGTACACCCTTATATGAAACCAGATACATTTGTAAACAAAACTATTCCTATACATTTTTTTGACAAAACTGTTCTGTTGCAGTTCTTTAAACTAGGTCGTTTTTGGAATTCGATGCTGTGCAAATAAGTCACTGGAAATAAGGACATTCTTTATTTTGAAGCCAATGAAAAGACCTAAGAATTCCATCGTTTATTAAGCAATCATTTAGGGTGATAAATGTCTTGGATGGTGATAAAGAAACCTAAACCAAACGTTCAATTGTGTCGACTATCGTTGCTTATAGAGCCAGATGAAAAGAGGCGAATAACGAAATATTGCAGGAAGGATTAGATCAAGTACGGATTTAATAGGCTTTTTGTCCAGGTATTCTATAAGGAGGACTTATACTTACCAATATACCGAGCTCAGGTATATACATATGTATATACATAAAGTGTAGCGTGAAAGTTCACGCATTCTGTAGTTCCTTCTAATTAAGTTGTTCATGACCCGCTGGAATGATATGACCCCTCTGGATTGAGAAACTCATTAAACACAGGTAATTCAATCTTTATTTTGTACTTATTTATCGTCATTTCCAATACTGGTTCTACATGTGTTTATTGTCAACATTGTAAAAGTTGACAATACCATACTATTGAATCTACCAATATTCATCCCAGTGATCTGCAGTTGTTCCAACTATTACTTCTGTACTGTAGGCATATTAGGTGTAAAAATGTCATTAATTACTTTGCATGCCAGACTATTTATGGAAGCTTTTTAAAAATACATAGAAAATAAAACATTTCACGGATGACAATGCTGATGTTTAAGATGATTCATAGTTCTGTCTCTGTGTGTCAGGTAGCAATGATCAAAATTGTACAGAGGCTGGCAATGTCAGGAAGGACACAAAAG